CCTTCTTTCTTTCTTGCCAGCATGCAGCATCATGGTTTTCCTGCTATTCTTGTTAATAGTGGACTGCTTAAAGCATTCACGGACATAGTTTGCATGCTGTCTTGTGCATTGAGGAATGTCTCGTTGTATTAATGTGCATGGTGATGGATTCAGTTATCCTCTACTTGTTTAATTTTGTGGACTCTTTTTGAACTTCAGGTGTTCTTATTTGTTTTTAAAGTACTTGGTTGTTCCACTGGTAGCGACAGCTCTGTGTCTGTGTGTGTGTATGTGTGTGTGTGTATATATATATATATATGTATGATATGTATACTTAAATTAGAATTAAATATCTGGTTTGCAGTTTAAAACAGATTGGTTTTCTTCTAGAAGGCAACCGGTTTGCAGGATGTCTTTGTGTTCCAGCATCATAGATCCTTATACAACTCCTTTCCTTCCAATGCTCAAGCACTTTTTTGCACCAAAACAAGGCCTGTGCTTCGTAGTTTCGATTACCAAACTGAGTACCTCTAGCAGTGTGGCCTTTCTCAAAAGTTTCACATGCAGATGGGGTTGATTAAGCAAGCTGTGTCCGTTGTTTCTGTCTGAGGTCAAGTTAAACCAAGTTCTGTGGAAGCCCCGTGGCTAAGATTTAAAGCTGTATTTCTTCTTTTCCCCACTGACCCTCCCTCCACTCGTACTCATTGTTCTGTATTTTTGTTTTCCCTGAAAGCACTAAGCTCTGGTATTACCAGCCTATAAACATGGTATCATGCTGTTAGAATGCAGAGGTTTTCTTTTGAACTAACTATTGTCTTGGAACGCTTTGCTTGTTACTCACTACATGAATTAATGTTGAGTTTTAGCAGTTTCAGGACAGACATGGTAAGACTTCTCTGATACTCATTTTACAGCTGTAATTCATGTTATAGCATACATCATCTAGACAGTGCAGCCCACATAATGCCTAGTTGTAGTGTGTTCTTTTACCCTGAAATGTGAAGGAAAGATGACAGAAAGTAATCTTCAAAGCAGCCTAGATAGAATTCAATAAAAATGTCTGCAGTACTCTCATTTGGGTTTTATTAGAGCTTAATGGTAATTAAGAAACCTTAAGTGTGTGAAATTAAAAAAAAACAACAAAAAAACTCACACAAAACCCACCTTGATTGTACAACCAAGTATATTTCAAAGGATCTCGTATTGCTCTGTATGCATTTCTTGGCGTAAAAGCTGGAAGAAAGGAAATCAGTTCGTGCTTTTAACATCTTTGTACAAATCAAGGAAGCATTGCAGCTACTGGAGGACCTTGTCTTTGGGTTTTTTTATATATATATAGCTTGACTAGTTTAATTTCAAGCACAGAAGAAATCATTCTTCTAAAATATTTATTGCATACAAGGACAGAAATTAAATAATTTACAGATGTTGAGGAGCCATTTTCTTATGCTATCCCATAATTGCTATGGATCACCTGGGGGTTATAAATGGATTAGCAGCATATGAAGACTAGTTCTATATGATTCAGATGACAAGTTTCTGATATGTACTTTGAGTATTGTTTCTTAATTCAGAGTTCATGCTATTTTAACATTCAAAATTAGTAAGATTGAAAGCACTGTAATATCTAGGTTCAGTATCAGGAATATTTATTATGGGCAAAATTCACTTCTATTTAGAAGACAAGATCTTCAGCTTCGCCTGACACTGTGTTAGAGGATGCAAATGGAATTAAGTGGTACATATGCCTTTTGCCAAACTGAAGCAAGTTCAGAAAGTGAACTTCTGTTCGTAAAGAACAATTTTGAAGAGGCTGGTGCAGCAGGCAGTATATTGCAGAGCTGTTAAATCATCCATTTACAGCATCCATGTGTCATGGTTTAACCCCAGCTGGCAACTAAGCACCACGCAGACGCTCACTCACTCCCACCGCAATGTGATGGGGGAGAGACTCAGAAGGGTAAAAGTGAGAAAACTCATGGGTTGAGATAAAGACAGTTTAATAGGGAAAGCAAAAGCCGCGCACATGAGCAAAGCAAGGAATTAATTCACCACTTGCCATGGGCAGGCGGGTGCTCAGCCATCCCCAGGACAGCAGGGCTCCATCATGTGTAATGGTGACTTGGGAAGACAAACGCCATCACTCCCAACGCCCTCCCCTTCCTTCTTCTTCCCCCAGCTTATATACTGAGCATGACATCATATGGTATGGAATAGCCCTTGGGCCAGCTGGGGTCAGCTGTCCCAGCTGTGCCCTCTCCCAGCTTCTTGTGCCCCTGGCAGAGCTGAGAGCTGAGAAGTCCTTGGCCAGTCTGAGCACTACCCAGCAACAACTAAACCATCAGTGTGTTATCAACATTCTTCTAGTACTAAATCCAAAACACAGCACCATACCAGCTACTAGGAAGAAAATTAATTCTGTCCCAGCCAAAACCAGGACGCCATGCAACTCATTCCTCTGTCCCCTCATCTGTTCCTCCAGCGGTGGGCTGTTGGGGATTGCAAGTCCACAGATCCACGCTCCAGATTTTAGCCTGATTTGTGAACAGCGGGGCCCCGCGGTGAGAGAGAACAAACCATGAGGCTTGTAATTCCCAGAGCCACTCACTGGAGCCTAATGCTGAGGTGCTACCTCACTGCGTAACCTGCTGTACTGTCTTGCAACATTTTGTGTAGGTGTTCGTCATCACGGAGTGTAGTGTGTGAGGTGATTAACCCTGTAGGATGACTTAACATGTGGAATCTCGTCTTTGGGGATAAAAAACTGGGGATGTGGCTCAGCACGAGTATCTTCCTTTGCCAAGTTGTAGGAAGGTAGACAGTGATTACCTTCAGCATAAGAGCATAGGTTTGTGTATCTAAATCTATGATCGTAATTGAGCAGGGGATAACAAGGGGGAAATAAGAGCGGAGGGTTGTTCTACAGAAAGCCTGGGTAGGCTGTGTTATATGTAAGCTGAGATTTCTGAAGTCATGTATTTCTGAAGGAAAAGGTAGGTTTCCATATGACCTTTGGCCTTGGTTGGACTTGATGATCTTAAAGGTCTTTTCCAACCTAGACAATTCTATCATTCTATGATATGAAGACTTTGAAAATCGAGAAAAGTCTAGTTTAATTGTTTGGCAAAACCAGACTGGTTTTGTTAAGTACTTTTTATCTAGTTATCTTGTCATGACACATGGCGTCATTGTAGTCTTCTCTGCTGTCCTCCTGCTGTGTCCTTAGCTGGCACAAACTGTAAGTTTTTGTTTAGTTTATATAGCAACTGATCTATGATGGTAGTTTGTTGTGCTGTTATAATAAATAATACTGACCTTGGCTGCTTGGCATTCCTCTGTGTCTCTCTATCAGGAACCAGTCATCAAAGATTGAACTCATGTTATTGACTGTAAAAAATGAACATAGCTCACTTCTAACCACAGCACTCGTGTCAGGGATAGAAATATTTGTATGTATGCACTCCTGTGAACCTATATAGACACTTAAAAGGAATTTTAGTTACAAATACCTAGAAAGAGTGGGGTGCTAGCTGTATGGTCTTTTATGGTGGAGAAAGATTCTACAGTTCTTGTCTTAGGAAGAAGCAGGAATTAAACAAAACTATTTTACTGGTAGCCATTTTATGTAACTTAATTTGCATAACATTTAAGCAAGAGTAGCCATTTCTGTTTTTCTCCTTTCAACAGAGCTTTTCATAGAATCATAGAATCATAGAATCGCTTTGGTTGGAAAAGACCTTTAAGATCATCGAGTCCAACCTTTAACCTAACCCTGCCACCCGACCACTAAACCATGTCCCTTTTGTTTAATAAACGGATACAGAGCAGTGTTTTTTGGTTATGCTGACTTTAAAAGTTTGTTTATTTTGGGGGAAACATCAAATAAATTCAGATTAATAAATTTAATGAGAAGTATGTGACCTTTTCTGCTTATAAAGGGAAAGGAACATACTACACAATTACATAAGTTATATGCAAGTGGATATCGTGAAATATTTTGGCTGAGAATATGAAGGGCATTGACTGCTAAGGAGAAAGGCTGCAGTGGAAAATCCGATGTAAATTGTTCTATGAGCAGCATCAAGCAATGAAACACTTCTTTATTCTTTCCATAGTGGCAATGTGAATTGTTCTGGGTCCCCACATAGCTGATGTTTACCACTGGCTGTTGCGATGTGTTGAGCTCCAGTCTGGGAGAGCTTTCCGTTCATATCCTAGTTCTGTAAATGATGTCCTTGTGTGCAGCAAAACTTGCCCATTGAACGCTCAATTGAAATAATGACGTAGCCGGTATCAGTATTAGCTACTTAATTGTTCTATAACTGACAGAAAACTGAACTGGGAAAAAAAAAAAGATTCTTCATGGCATCTTAGTTATACTGTAGCTTTTTAATACTGATGATGAAATTTCTAGGCAGGGGTTGAGAGGGAACAAGGACTTAACTGTGTAGATGTTAATGAGGAGTTCCACCCAAAAGAGAAGTGAGAGAAAGTTCAAAGATGTCTGGTAAGAAGCGTGTGTGTGTGAGTGAGGAGCTGGTAGTATTGCTTACCAGAGGTGAATGTTAAAAGATGGATGAATATAAGACCATAGGTTGGGAGAGGAACATTGGGAAGGATTTTTAACGTGGAGAAAGTAGTTTACTTAATGTAACAGGGACAGTGTAAGGAGGTTATTAGGCTACTCCTAATACAGAGTAGGTAACATAACCAAAATGTCATCTAGGAAAATGATTTTTTGCAGCAGTGTCATAAATGAGCAAAAGCTTGGCAAGATTGCATCAGCTGTAGACAGGAAGACTAGAGTAACTGGTTGAGATGAGAGCCTAGTCAAAATCTTTGTTTGATGTCAGTATATGGAAAAACCTTGGTGGTATTTAGCAGCATGCTGACCCAGAGAGAGGTAGGTAGGTTACCAGACCAGGTAACAGAGTTCATAGCTACTTTTGCTTGCATGACCAACAGATTAAAGGCGACTTCTGTACAAAGGTGAATTTATGTTATTACTGTTCTTGTTTTAGGTAAAGAAGATGAATTTCCAAAGAAGCCATTGGGGCAGATTCCATCAGGACCTCAGCCTGCTATGCTTAACTCCACTCCAATGCTTAACGGACAGAACAGCACTGGTACACAAACAACAAGGAGGACAGAGAGGAGACCATCCCCAGGAGAAGAACCAGAAAGTTCACTAAACAACCGAAAAAGAATCGATTCACTGGAAAAGAAACCTCCCTTAAAACAGCAGAAGGCTCGACCAGTAGAGACACAAAGTAGCGTGCCTAAGAACGAGATAGATACCAGAAGAAAGCCTCAGCCAATAGAGCAAGACAACTCGAGACAGTATAATAATGCAGCTGCTAATCAAAATTCTAATGCTACTTCAAATACAAGAAGGGAATTTGTACCTAAGTGGAATAAACCATCTGATCCAAAAATTATTGAAAAGACAATGAAACTTGCTGCAGAGGTGAAAGGAAGGCCGGTAAACCATTCAGTTTCAGGCCCACCACCAAGTCCTGGAGAAACTCAGCCTTTGAATGTAAAGCAAAAGATGAGGGTTTTGGATGCTGATGAAGGTAAGCGGGGGTCTAATGCATCTCAGTATGACAATGTTCCAGAAGTTGAGAATGAGAATGAGAATCTTGTTGAAGAGATGCTTGAGAGAGCTCATCCACAGAGTCCTAGGCATGTAGCATATTCTAATAGTCCAAGAAAGCAAACTGAAAAAATACCAACTCCATTAAAAATACCCAATAATTACACCTTGACTTCACAACCCAGATCTCCAAAATATCCATCACAATCTGATGGACCACCTCATGGACTGAATGTAAAACAGCCACTGCCATGTTATAGTAATCCACCTACTTACCATGGAAATTCTCCAAAGCATGTTTCCAGTGTAGGCAATACAAGTTCTGTACCTCTACATTACCCTGGGAATCGAACCAGCCCTTTTGGTAGGCCATATGGTTCTTTTATTTCAGTAGATTATTCTCCCGATAAACTACAAATGAATTCTTATCCTCCCAGTCGCCAAAATCCTCTTTCACCAACCCCTGGTCAGATAGAAGTAGCCCCTGTCGATGCTTATACCAGCAACTCGAGGTCCCCCACGGGTGTCAAATTCATAATCCCTCCAGTGGATTATTTACCAGAAGATAGAAAGTGGCCAGATGCTGCGTATGTTTACAGACACGAACCCTACAGGCAGCCCTGGAGCCAAGACGGCAACAAAGGCCACATGGATAATTTCCAGAAATACCAACATTTTCAGTCAACACCTTTTCAAGACCATAGTCTTCCTGCTGTTTCTGTGGATAGTCCAATAAGATACAGGACTTCACCAACCTTTGAAGAGCACGGTTCACCACAATACCAATATTCAAGCCCATCAGCTCAAGCCCAGCACTATCGAAATAGAAATGATGGATTGTCTATGCATGAATCTGTGCTTCTCTGAGAATCTGTCTGTACTTAGTAAAATGGCAAGAACCAAAACCAGTTAAACATTACTGCGTTAGTAGTAGTCCACCTCAGTTCTTTGATGAAATGCAGACAGTTCGCGTGACTCTCAAAAATAACAACACTATTTCGAAGATGTTTCAGACTTTCATTGAAGGCTAGTTGAGTTCTTGGACTTGCATTGAAGCTATTGAAAGTGATCTGATGCACGTAGACATAGCAATAAGATCATATATATGACGTGGTTAATGCTGTCATCCTTCCTTACATTTAAATAACTTGTGTTACCATCTTTCTGCCTAAAACCTGTAACACATTTACAACTTCTATTTTGACTGACATTGTTAATGCACTGTATAGATGTGTGTGTGTGTGTGCGCGCGTGTGAGTGTGCACTTACAATACACAAACGCATATGGAAAGGAGCTAAAGAGTTTAAATGTAAATGCATTTAACTTTGGGCAAAGCTTGTGAAGTACTTTTATTTCATATTAATTTTTCTTTGTAATTTATTTCAGAAGCCATTCGTTTTGAATGGGAATTTCTGTCGTTTTTATACAGCTGCCTCAGCATCCCAGTATCTGTTCTGGGCAAGAGAGATGCTTTGGGATTATTATTTAATCTTATGTGAGAGTTAATTTCCTCTCCTTTGACTACTGTTTGTCATTTTCCTCAGCAAGAAGGAGCAGGCAGGCAAAAGCAGAAAGCCAAAAATGTCTCTCTAATCTGGCTAAGATATGGTGCTTAAAATTCAGGGCAGTGTTTAGTTTTTTAGGTTGCATCGAAAGTGGAGAATTTTTACCTTCTCACCCAAATCTACCTTCAGAATGTCGTCCTATATGCAAACTATTGGAGCACAGCGAGAGTAATGCCAGATACAGAAATGGTGCTGCACCCTTCGCTTTTTGCCATGCTGTTCTGTCAAACTAAACAAACCGGTTGCAGGGCCAAATCTCACCGGTATCAGAGAATGACCAGCTCCTCGGCGCTCTAGTGAAGTACACGCAGGAGTCTGAGATCTGGTCGAGGCTTGACATTCCCTGAGCTGTGTGAGTATGCAAGTCCCTTCTGTTAAGCTTTGTCATGTCAGTTCCGTTCTGTTTTGCCCTTTTTTTACCCCAAAGAGACGGTAGGTTCATGTCTGTGATTGGGCGTGTGCTGCCGTGCTGTCAGGCTGCTTGAGAGACATTGCGGTGTTTTACAGTAAAGCGATCCTGACTCTTAATGGGGGGCTTCGATTCCTGGTAATGTAAGCGTTTTTAATTAGTGTTTGCAGCCTTTTCTACTTCATGTTTTCCTTTCCTTGACTGTGAATTGGGGCTGGGAAAAAAAAAAAAGCGGGTTAAGTGGCACATGTAGGATACAGTCCTGCGAGCTGCTGGTGCCGTGTAGTAAGCGCTGAACGCACCGACCTCTCGCTGAAAGCAGTGGGAGTTGAGGCAGATAAGGATCTCGCCAGAAGAGGTCCTTGGAGTGCTTAACAAAGATTTTCCTCATACTTCAGCACCAAACATTGGTATCAACACCAGTTTTGGGTGGTTTGGAAGGTGGTTCTGTTATCTTTTGTTTTGAAAGATTTGTTAACTGAAAACATAGAAATGGATTTTTTTTTTTTTTTTCCCTTTAAAGACTGAGTTTTAGTGCCTATAACTGCTGCAGGTTGGCTCTGTAAGTTTTAAGGTACAGAAGTAAAACAATTTTTACAAATGGAAGTAACATTTACTTAGTATATTTCAAAACCTTTTTTTTTGTGTATATAATGTGTCTGATGTAATTTTTAATGAACTGGGCAATTTCATATTTTAAAAATTGCAAACTGCAGCAAAGTAACAGTAGCAAAGCACTACACTGAAACTCTAAACTAAGATTGTGAAGATAAATATGACTCGGGCTTACCTTAGTTCTGATTGCTTACAGCAGCTTAGAAATGTATGTATATAATCCCGTGGCTAAGTGTAATAATCTCAGTGTTTAACGAGGGTTCTGTAATTCATAACAAAGCTGTACAATTTATTTGTGCAAGCAACACGAGGCTCCAAGATATCTATCAGCATTAGTAAATACTGTAGATTTTTATATATAAAATATATACACACTATTTTCTTATGTCATCTGCAACAGTTTTATAACTGTGTATCCTATTTTGATGTGACTGTATTTTTAACATGTTAAAATAATAATAATTAAGCTTATGTTGCTTTGTCTTCATTTTTATTTATCTGATTAGTTCAAAACGACTTGTGCTCTTAGCACAAATGATTGCTTTTCGTAAGTGAATCATGTGTATATATATATTTGATGTCTGTCTGTTTAATTTGTACTTGTTTATTTTTAGACTAAGCAATATGGATACAATCTATACAGTGCTTTTGCATTATTATAGAAGCAGCAAGATTATTGATTATAGTTTACTACGCTGCTAAACCTTAATCTATCATTTGCGAAAGCTAGGAGTATAAACTGTGATCATAATTTTCTGGTTTTATTCTAATAATCTCACCCGATACCAATTCAAGAGAGGAGAGTTATTGGCATGAGATACTTGCAAAGTTACATCGATCAAAGTGCAGAAGAATAGCCTGACTGTGGCTGCTTGTGTGCCTCCCACATGTTTAGAGGACGGGACAGAGCTTTAAAAAAAAAAAAAAAAAAAAAAGCCTTGTGTCATCTGTTAGTAGTGCAAAATACACTTTTATCTTCATTTAACTGGACAAACCCAACCAAAGGTGCTGCCAGATTCATACCAGTAAGAAAAACCCCCTCACTGCAGGGTAAAGTGAGCCGCAGCTGTGCCGGTCGGTATCTTGCTGGTAGAGGGAATCATCTCCACGTAATGGATCAGATCTCCTTGTAAGGCTTTTCTGTCACTGATCTGAAAACAGTCAAGCAGTAAGTAAAGTACCTGAGACCTTTTTTCCCCATGGTTTCATCATTTTCCAAAATTTGCCTGCCTTGAGCTGTATGAACTGCAGGGGTTTTGCCCAGGTTAGCTGTCCTGGCTCTCCTCGTGGTTAGGTAGGCAAGTTCACGGTAGGGGTTTGGAGAGCGATGAATGCCACACTCTCCCCACTAACACAGAACAGCATGGAAGTACGGACTGAGTAAGGGTAGGTGTCTAACTTCTGTAGGGCAAAAATTAAGTTAAATTAAACTAATTAGAATTCAAGAGGAAAAGCAAATAGCTCTTAGTTGTATGATGTTGTCTTCTGCGGTTGCTTTTCCTTTCACCCTGATGCCACGCTGGATTAAATCTAAAGACTTCACTGTTGGACCAAAGCATTTCAGTCTTCTGCAGTACAAATTGTGGCCATGGAAAAAAGATGGGAAGGATCGCGGTGTCGCTGGCACTCCTAACCTTTTTGGTGAGTGGGATGTGATTACATGGTCAAATTGCTGATCTCTGTAATCAAGCCAAGTCACGCACTACAGGTGAAGACAGAAGCCATCCCTGCTCCTTCCTCAACTGACCCAGGGGAAGGGGTTTTTTGACATCTGATTCGGTGAGGAGTTTGAATTTAAGCATCCGCTCACTCAGGCATCTTAAGGAAGAGAATCCAACCTCAGGAGAACGATCTTTTCCTCTCCCCAGATCCAGCTGTGGCCTGTCTGTAACGCTTCAGGGAAGGTGACACACGAAAGAGAAAACCCATTTAGCCAGAAGTCTATTAAGGAGAGTATTCCCCCTTAATCCCTGCTGATGACTACCTAAAGCCTCAAAGCATGATATTGTCTGCAATTGTTTGAGAATGATCAGACCGATGTGTGGGCAATCCAGTTTTTCCTTGGGCCAGGAAGGAAGGTCCTTCACACATGTAAGCGTCGGTTACCTTCATAACACCTGACAGCAGGATTAATCCCTTACTGTACAAGTAACCGCTCTATCCTCGCTACTAATAAAAGTTTCAAGACGAATAGTAAGGGATTTTTAGCAATCTTGGAGGTTGCAGAAGAGAAATATCTTGTTGTTAGTCAAAGATACACCTTTGTAATAAACCACTCAATAATTCCAAAATTAGATGCAAAGAGTAAACAACATCGAAATGTCAGAAGACAGAACAGCCTTCCAGCGTGGGGAAGCAAATCCAAAGCTTCCCTGAGGTACGTACACATTTTCCAGGGAGATTTCTCTCAAGAATCCTATCCTGAATTTCACATCATCCTCAATATGACTTTGAAATGGACTTGCAAATTACAGACTTTTTTTTTTTTTTTAATCTCCCCCTTGGGTGGCATTACACTGCCTGCACAAAGAGGAATACTATTTAAAATATGCCATCAAACACCCACCGTTTCATTTCCAGCAGAGTACATTCTGCTTTCAATACTTCAGTCAGAGGAAAATACAATCTTTTTTTGTAGTCCTTTAAATACCGCATTTTTGTAAAGCTCTGTAAACGTAGCATCGTTAAGCAGTTCCTGAACCAAGTGTGGTGTAGGCTCCTCTTTAGATGGCAGAAAGCTACTGCGTAGTTTGCTGCAGGGTTGTTTTTTGTTTCTTTTGGGGGAATATTAAGATAATCCAAATGCTTTTAACAGCAGAGTTGCAATAAGGAAATGACTAGGCCGGCAATTGGAATTGGAAACAGAATTGCGGTTGTTTCAGGATAGCCTTTAAGTGGTTGCCAAATCTGGTGAGCTGGGGAAAGACCATTTTCTGGTTCTTTGTGCCAAGAGGACTTCATCCTGCAGCAGGGAGCGCGTGGGTCCCTCTCCCGAGCGATTTGATTCTCTCTGCTAACGACCGCCTGCCTTTGTGCTTACAGACTTGGTATGTTAGAAAATCAATGGTGCTTTTAAAGATCCAAACCCACACGTTCTGAATAATCTGAAAACGAACAGATCTCGTCCTGACTTCCCTTTCTTCCTTTCTTTTCTCTTTTTGTAGTATGTTTATTTTTACTGATGATTTTATTGTCAGCCTTGTCAAGGTGAGCTGTGCTTGATTCTTCCATCTCCTTACTTTGATAATCTGCCAACTCATGTTTTTCAGAGGCTTTGTGATGCCTTTTTGCTGCTTTTTTTTTTCTGCTGTTCATTGAGAACATGATAAAGCAGTTAATATCAGGGGTTACTGTTTGCCTCTTCAGCTTTTCCTCTCTCCAGACAATGTGCAAATTAAAAAAAAAAAAAAATCATTTATGTTCTCAATATTATAGTTGGTCAGAAATTCTCCGGAAAGGTTTTTTTTCTGACAGAAAGCAATTTAATTTAGCAACTGGTGAAGGACGCTGTAGTGTGGAGGCACTTGTACGGTCTCTGCAATCCAAGCTCATGAGTTGCTTCTGCTTGGTACCAAGCAACAAAAGCTGGATTACACGCAGGGCTGATCGAGCATTCCTTTGTGAAATGCTGTGCCGTGCCACGGAAACATGCCAGCGCAGACTGGCGCTAGGTCAGGTGGAGCTACAACGTCCTTGGTTTGCTTAGGTAAATGCCCCCTCGTTTCCTGATCATATGTTGCTTTTGTCAGATTTTAGGAAGAGAGGAAACGGCCTCAAGTTGCACCAGGGCAGGTTTAGGTTGGACATTAGGAAAAATTTCTTCACCAAAAGGGCTGTCAAGCACTGGAAGGGGCTGCCCAGGGAAGTGGTTGAGTCCCCATCCCTGGAGGTATTTAAAAGCTGGGCAGACAAGGTGCTTAGGGACATGGTTTAGTGGTGGGATGGCAGGGTTAGGGGAACGGTTGGAGTTGATGATCTTGGAGGTCTTTTCCAACCTAAACGGTTCTATGATTTTCTGCTTGAAATGAGAAGAGGCAGAGAATTGAAGCCTGTGCTCTGAACTACAACACCTGTGCTCCTGTCCTTACTTAAGAGGCCTAGAGCTGATTTCTGGTTCAAACCATCCACTTTGAGCATTGCGTTTGCAAGTTCAACAGTATCTTCTAGAATCATTTGCTGTATTGTCCCGTAGGAAAAAAACAGATCTCTTTTTTTTTATTTTTATTGGTTTTTTTCCCAGTAACTTACAGCTTTGTTAGATTATTTTGTCTGATCTGCGTGTCCCGTAGGAAAAAAACAGATCTCTTTTTTTTTTTATTTTTATTGTTTTTTTTCCCAATAACTTACAGCTTCGTTAGATTATTTTGTCTGATCTGCAGCTTCTTTTGAAGCTTACCTGTTCCCAGACTTTTTCCCCAAAGATAACTCGGTTGACAGGGCGGGCTGTGTGTCACTGAGAGTGACGCCAAAGGAGGTGAGTGATCTCCAGTACCACCATCAGGTTGGATGGTGTTTTCAGGCAAGTGGCACCCAGCTCCCAGAACTGGGTTTTTGCAATATGAGGAAGTGGAAGAGCTTTACTGGCTGAAGACTACCTGAATCCAGCAATAATGTGTGGGTTTATACTAAAACTCACAAAGTTTAAAAGCAGAAGGGCAGGATTTTCGGAGATGGTGATGCTTAGCTCTGCCTTAATGTTTGGGAATGGAGTTGGAGTTCAGTGTAAAGCCTGTTTATAGCAACCCCTGGGCTTTCTTCCTCTGAAAGTTGCGCAATACCCTGGCTGAAGCGCATCACGGAGAACCCCTATGCTCAGAAAAGGAGGAGTTGAGTCCATTCTGCAAGTCAATGGGTTTCAAATTACTGAAGAAACTGAGTGTCATTGTATTTTAAGTGGTTTTAAAACAGTCCTCTTGGTCTCAGTCTTCCTCACCAACCAACCTTTCGCTCTCTGAGGGACAGTGCTAGAAGATCTTTATTTGATGTCAGCTAATGTTCTGGGCATGGGACAGCCTTCATTTGTTCAAACTTTGCATCTGTAACTCCTGATATGCTTCACAGCTCTGTCCCCTTCTGTTCCCTGGGTGTTCCTTTGTCAGATTTTTTCCCTCACAGCTATTTCGGTTCTAGTAGAGATGTCCACCTCTTTGCTACTCCAGTGACTGAGTTTCCTTTCCAATTCTTGTGTCCCCTTGTCATGGGCTACCTGCTCGGTATCGACTCATTGCGTTCTCCAGTCCATCTCTAAGTCTGTTCTCAAGCTGCAATGCTGTCACTTTGCTTTGAAGAAATTGTTGAAAAGGGATAAAGTAAATGATTTGGAGACTATAAACCAGAAAATGGTACATACGAGGATAAAGCCTTCAGAAAGGCCTTCAGAAAGGGCTGTCGGGTGGTCGCGCTGTGCTTTACAGCTTGCAGCACCTGTATCATGACAAGTGGTATAGGTGCTTATATTATACATTCTCCAGTTAATTGGAGGGACTGGGATGGTAAGTGGCTTGCTGAGGTTTTTTCCCTCAGTGATACTTTGAGTGGGAGGTTATGCCCATGGATTGAGCGCTCCATTCTGGCCAGCAGGAAGGAGCAAGCCAGTCTTTACTGGGTGGCTGGGCGCAGCGCTCTGTAAATATTTAATCACATATAGTGAGTAAAGACAGACTGGTCTCTCCTAGCCATAGAATTAGTAGGCTCACAGCTATCGAAGTCATTTATAGCTGCTGGAGTTCATCCCTTGTGCAGAGCTGTTCCTCAACTTTTTTGACGCTGTAAATTGCAATTTTGCCATGTAACTTGTTTAAAAAAAAAAAAAAAAGTAGCGTTAACCTCAGGTGTTCTCTCTGCCGTGTGGTTGTGCAGCTAGGCTGGCAGCGTACCTCCTGCCTGCAGCAGTTGTTTTACTGATGCCCAGCCTCGTGGTGAAAGAAATAAGCCCCTTGTTTCCTCTGAGTATCCATGGCTCCTCCTGGGTGCTGGTTAAGGGGGTTTTTTGTTTGTTCATTTATTTGTTTGGTGACAAAGCTCAAGGTCTTACTCAATTTTCACAGTATCTTCCTCTCCTGGTCCTCCCTGCTCTGTCCAAATTACACCAAACACTAGCGGAGAGGGGAAGATCATAAATTCTGCTTGGCTTAAACATCTGCAGACTCGACCTGCTGGAAGTTGTACAGCTCTATCTGCTCCCCACAGAGAAAAGTTCTGATGACAAAACTTCGGGCAAGGAAGAAAATAGTTTTGCTCTTTAAATGCCGTTATAAAAAAGCATGATTTCAGTGAATGGGTGGGGTGTCATCCTGTGCACACATTTATCATTGTAAATGTTAGGTCTGAAAGGCTTTGAAATGCTTTCAGAACTTGTGATTTTGGACATAAAGAGATCACTTTTATTGCAACCCTCTCGTCATGCTCAGTAGGGTTGGTCAGGTGGTGTTTTTCCCTATTGATTTAAGTGGTTTCTCACAGAGGCCTTCAGGTGCCAGCATAACATTTCGTGCAACCCTGATAATTACTTTATTATTAACTTTAAGCGTAGACTCCCTTGTCTACCTCCCCTTTTGGAAGTGAATCATGTTCTGATATTTAGAATGACCCTAAGCTGAGATCTCAAATTTCCTTTCCAGCTGGACTAATGGGGCTTGCAGGAGGCTAGCCAATATTCCACGACTTCTAATTACCATCAGATTGGATTAAATAAAGGAAAATTACTTAACTACCCAGCCAAAGATGGGGAGTTAGCTATACCTTCGAAAAGACTTGTCAGCTGCTAACAAGGTAGTTGAGCTGGACTTGCTGATTTTTTAAGTCACCTTTGGTAGATCATCCTCTGAGTACCATACTCCGAAGGATTCATCCTTGCGTGCAGCGTTTGCTGGAGGGGGTTCAGCAAAATTGTAGCTGACAGGTTGGCCACCTCAGCAGATGTCTCCAGAGGTAAACCGAAGACCGCATTTCCATCTTCAAGCCTAAGCCACAAGCTGTGGGGAGGTCATTGGGGGTCTGTAAGTAATTTTAAAGGGTTTTGTATTCAGAATAAGGAAGGTGAACTGCCTGAACTCCTGTCTTGCAATTCTTTTCTCCTTCTCTTTCTCTTTAAGCAATACAGTAGCAGTCAATTGCCCTGGGGTTGGAATTGTTTCCAGCCATAAAGCAAACACTCAAGGTTTATGCAGCGCTGAAAGAGCACTCTCCATGACGGTACTCCTGTGGTGGAGTTGGGTCCAATTATTTTAAATGACTGAAGCAGGTCAAAGAGCTTGTGTCCAACTTTTCAAGTGACTTGGCACCCACTAGTCTTTGTAGAATTTGAGGAGCCAATGTCCAAATTGCTTATGAAGGCAAGGAAGAAATCCTATCTTTATATCCTTGGCATTTAGCAGATGCTCAGTTTTACTGTTAGCCCATGGCCGAGCCACTTTATAAAACCTTCCCCACCTGCATCTTCTGGCTGACACTTCTCTTCATGTTGTTTATAAGAAAAACCTGCAGCCCTTTCATTTTTAACTCCATGTGTTAATGATGGGAACTCTTGGGGAGAAATTCCCTCTTTGCTTTATTGCCTTTGGTGGGAAAAAATAATATAAGCTTGTCAGCCTAACAAGCTGTAAGGTGTCTCGCATGCTTTGCAACATTTAATTCCTAAGGTGTCTTTGCAACTACACTTTGTTCTGCTGAACAGAATTTCTCAAATATTTTCTGTCCGATCATTTCCTGGTAAGTCTAGTCTGACCTTTCGGACTTATTTTTGCCTAGAGGCGTTGTTTTTTGGTCAGTAGCTGCTTTGCTTCCAGGCCAACTGGGAACTGAGTTAAACCTAGAGGATTCTGGTGGTGCTTTGAGGTGGGTGTACCTGAACCTCTCACTACAGTGAGCTTTCAAAAGAAAATGAGAATGGCTTTTTGCATTCAAAAAGCTTTATTAGAATGTCAGCTAGAATACTTAATTATCTTAATTAGAATTCAAAGCAATGAAGAGCATTCTTAAATATTTAAGCACTCTCTGCCCTTGCCCATTAAGTCTCTTCCCGTGCAGGTCTTTTCCTCCAGGACTTAAGTCAACCCAGCCATGGTTTTCTGGGTTATTGCAAGCTCTGAGCAGCCCCCTCTCATCCACAGAGTTTTGTCACCTTGAGATGTCTGCTCCCTGCCCCTCACATCAGTTTTTTTAGTCTCTCTGCAACCCTGCCTAGTCTTTCCTTGCCAAATTTTCACTCTTGGCCCCTTCTGCTGCCAGCCCACCCTCTACATGTGAAGCTCTCTTCTGTGTCAGCTTGGTCACAGGCAGCCCAGGAACCCTCGTCCTCTGTTGCGCTGCGCCCTGCCCACCCTGATCACTCTGTTGACCGTGCCAACTGAGAAACCACCGGTCACAGATGCACGGCAAAAGTTGGTACATATTTGGAAGCTCTTCTTGCCTGTTACCTGCCCAAGCTTCTTACTTCATAGCTTGTGCTTGCTTGGGGCTGGAGAGGTCTTTCTGTGCTGGAGAGGAAAGCCTTCCACTGCAGTAGTTCATAGAATCAGAATCGTTTAGGTTGGAAAAGACCTTTAAGATCATCAAGTCCAATCGTTAACCTAACCCTGCCATTCCACCACTAAACCATGTCCCTAAGCACCTCGGCTGCCTGGCTTTTAAATACCTCCAAGGATGGGGACTACACCACTTTCCTGGGCAGCCCATTCCAGTGCATGATGGAAGACTGAAGTTCAGTCTTCCAAGACTAAATACAGGGTACATGAGCCCACCGAGCTCAGCAGAATTGGAATTTTTTTGTGTGAGAGTTTTTC